GTGTGTGTGTGTGTGTGTGTGTGTGTGTGTGTGTGTGTGTGTGTGTGTGTGTGTGTGATGTGATCAAACCTATACTTTAGGAAAATCACTTTAGTGGCTGACTGGAGGATGGACTGGAGTGGGGAGAGACGAGGCAGGCAGACCCACCAGCAGCCCATTGTAGTGATCCAGGGATGAGGTGATGAGGGTCTACACTAGATAGGTGGCAGTGTCAGAAGAGAGAAGGGGGCACAAACTATCTGAGAGACGCTGCAAAAGTGACATTGAAGGTCTTGGCTGCAGCTTGGACGTGGGTGGCGAGAGATAGTGAGGAGTCCAGGCTGGCTCATGGGTTGTGAGCCTGAGGGGCTAGGAGGATGGTGTTAGCCTTCACAGTAACAGGGAAATTAAGAAAGGAGGAGGAAAGATAATGAGTTCTGTTTTGGACGTATCGAGTTTAAGTTGTCTTCTGGACATTTTAGTTTGAGCCATTGGAAAGGCAGTTGAAGGTGAGAAATTAGAGGTCAGCAGAGAGGTTGGGGCAGGAAAGGGAGAGTTAAAAATCGTCAATATAGCGCTGGTAATTAAATCTATGGGAGCTGATGAGATCGACAAGTGAAGTAGTATTGAGGGAGGAGAAGAGGGCCCAGGACAGAGCCCTGAGGGTCACCAGTGGTTAGAGGGATCATGTGGAGGAGGATCCAGCAAAGGAGACAGAGAAGGGGCAGTCAGAGAAGGAGGAGAACCAGGAGAGTGTGATATCCTGAAAACCTAGAGAAAAGAGGGTATTAAGGAGAAGGTGATCAACAATGTTAAAGGTTGCTGAGAGGTTGAGGAGAAGGAGGATTGAGAAAAAGTCATTAGATTCAGTAACTAAGAGAACATTGGCAATTTTGGAGAGTTTTGGTGGAATGATGAGGTGAGAAGCCAGATTCTAACGGATTAAGAAGAGAGTCAGAGAAGAGAAAATGGAGGCATCTATTGTAAGAGGCCTTTTTGATGAGTTTACCTACTTACATGTTGTCCTTTCCAATTAGAACGTGAGCTCCTTGAGAGCCCTCATAAACCCCCTTGTTTTTAATATTAACATTTTTTTTTTGCCTTTCTTTTTATTCCCAGCATTTCACATAATGCCTGGAACATAGAAAACACTTTACAAATGCTTGTTGAAAGCTCCAAAAGGGGGGTACCTGATTTAGACATATAGACATCATAAACAAATTAAAGGAGAATGGAAGAAATTGCCCGTCAGATTTACAGGTAGGGGGAGAATTCATAACCAAGGGATAGAGAGGTTATCAGGTGAAATGGAGAATTTTGATTGCATGAAATTAAAAAGTTTTTGCACTTTTTAAACAAAACCAATTCAGCTAAAGTTAGAAGAGAAGCAGGTAAGTGGGGGGAAAATCTTTGAAGCAAGTTTCTATGATAAAGGTTTCATTTCTAAGACATAAGGAATTGATTCAAATGTATAAGAATAAGAGCCATTCCCCAAGTGAAAAAATAATCAAAGTACACGAACAGGAAGTTTGCAGAGGAAGAAATCCAACCTATCAATAGTCATATGAAAAAGTCCCCTAAATCACTAATAATTATAGAAATGTATCTCTTTGCACCCATCAGAATGACAAAGTTGACAAAGGAAAATGACAAAGGCAGGAAGGGCTATGAGAAAATAAGTATAATGAACTATATTAGTGGAGCTGTGTCCAGCCATTCTAGAAAGCAGTTTGGAATTATACCCCCAAAAGCTATTAATCTGTAAATACCCTCAGATCTATTGAGATTTCACTATTAGATCTATTTTCCAAAGAGACAAAAAAAGTAGGAAAGGGACCCATACATACAAAAATATTTATAGCAGTGGCAAATAATTGGATACTGAGGGGACGCCCATAATTTGGGGAATGGCTGAATAAGTGGTGAGGCATATGAAAGCAATACTTTCAATGTGCTGTAAGAAATGATGAAAGGGATGGTTTCAGAGGAATCTGGGAAGACTTGTATGAACTGATGCAGAGTGAAATGAGCAGAACCAGGAGAACAATTTATACAATAACAACGATATTGTAAAGATAAACAAGACTTAGGACAAAGACTTAGAAGCTCAGATAAGTGTAATGGCCAGTGGTGACCCATGATGAAACACGCTCCTGTCTCCTGAGAGGTGATAGACTCAAGGTGTAGACTGAGGCATTTTTTGGGTATATGGACACTGTGGGAATTTGCTTTTCTTGCTCGTCCATGTTTATACAGGTTTTACTTTTCTTGCTTTCTCAATGGGGGTTGGGTGGAGGTGAGAAGGAAAGAATGTGGATATGAAAATAAAGTTGAACAATTTTTTTTTAAAGTTCATTGGCTCACTGACTCATGGACAGGCAGTGAAGGATAAACAAATGAATTGCTTTCCAATCTTTTTTAGCATGAAAATGTCAGAAATCTTTTGAGGACCCCCCCCATAGTAATACTGTTAGTATCTGTTAATTTTGATAATTCAGGATGACAGAAATTCATTAATGCTTTCAGATGAATTTGTATTTTGTTCATTACAACATTGAACAGAGTAGATAAAGGGCTGGCCTTAGAGTCAGGAAGATCTGGGTTCAACTCCTGCTTCTGTCTGATGGTAGTTGGGTGACCCTGTGCAAGTCACTTAACTTTTCTGTGCCCCAGGCAACTGTGTAGGAGTTGCCAATCTGTATCATTGGAAGGATTTTCCGTGCTAGGAGTTTCCCTATGGATAAATTTGAGGGTCTGGACCTGCCCCTATCACCGCGCCCCCTCCTTCTCCCCAAGAAGGACATCTCATATATCTAAAAATGGTAATGCAATATTTCTTCAGGTTGGGAAGTGGTACAGTGGGAAGAATGCAGTTCTCAGAATCAGGGGACCTAAGCCAGAGCCCCAGATGTGCCCCTTCCTATCTGTGCAGCCACAGACAAATCATAACAACACTTGCACCTTCTGCCTCACAAAGTTGTTTTGGAGGACAGCACTTTGTCAACAGCAAAAGGAAGTAAAAAAAAATTATTATAGGATCATAGATTTAGGGAATGGAAGAAAAGAAACAAGCATTTATTAAGTGCCTACTGTGTGTTAATGCTTTACAAATATCTGATTTGATCCTCAAAACAAGTCTGGAAGGTAGGTACTGTTATTATCTCCATATTACAGATGGGGAAACTGAGGCAGGAAGAGGCGAAGTGGCTTGCCGTGGGTCACGCTGCTAGGAAGTGTCTGAGGTCGTATTTGAACTCAGGTCTTTACTGGACTGCAGGCCCAGTGCTCTATCCACTTTGCCAACTAGATGCCTCATCTGGTCCAACCCCTTCATTTTGCAGGGGAGGAAACTGAGGCCCACAGAGACTAAGCGACTTGCCCGAGGTTACACAATTAACTAGCAGAGCTGAGTCAAACCCAAACGCCACGTGGGCCCTCGCTCCCCGGCGCCTCTTCCCCAAATCCTAAAATTAAACGTTTTAAATTGCTCTCTTGGGGCCGGCTGACCCAGCCATCTTGGCCAACGAGACTACATCTCCCAACTGTGTTTGCACCAGCTGTCAACGCTTCGCCCCTCCCTACGGCCACCGTCGGCCCGGAGGACTACGACTCCCATAAGGCTGAGCGCGCCCTGAGAACGCGTTCTTTCCCCAGTGCCGCTAAGACTACATTTCCCAGGAGGTAGAGCGGCAGCGGCGGCGGGGGTGTACGCGGCGCTGCCTGAAAGACCCTAGGGCTGTCCATGCCGCTGTGCTGCCGGCGGATCAGGAGTCCGAGCTTCGGGAGCACAAGCCCGAGTCGTCGCCGCCGTCCGTGTCCCTGCCGGAGCGCCGCCGACCGCGGGCCGCCCCTGCCCGGCCGCCAGGATGCTGGAGGAGGCGGGCGAGGTGCTGGAGAACATGCTGAAGGCCTCGTGCCTGCCCCTCAGCTTCATCGTCTTCCTGCCCGCCGTGCTGCTGCTCGTGGCGCCGCCGCTGCCCACCGCCGACGCGGCGCACGAGTTCACCGTCTACCGCATGCAGCAGTACGACCTGCAGGGCCAGGCTTACGGTAAGTCCTCCCCCGCCGCCGCCGTCCCGGCCAACCCGGCCCGCGCTCCCGCCCCTCCCCCCCTCGGCGCGACCCCATGCGCGGCCCGGCCCCCGCGCGTCCGCGACACCCCCCCCCGCCCCCCGCCAGTGTGAGTGTGTGTGAGAATGCGTGTGTGCCGCGCCCGGAGCGCGACCCTGCCGTGCCCGCGGGCCTCGGACCCGGTGTTAGAGCCAGGCCCCCTCCCCCTCCCCTGCCCTAGAGCTGGGGCCCCTCCCCCGCCCCCCTCAGTCCTAGCGCTTGGCCCCCGCTCTCTGTATCTCCCCCTCCCCTGCCTTAGACCTGGGGCTTTCCCCTCCCCATCTTGTCTGCCAGCTCAGCCTTGCCCCTGGCCTTAAGGCAGACTGACTGCAGCACTCTCCAGCCTCAAGCCAAGCCTGTGCCCACCCGTTCCTTCTGGCCCTCGGATGGAGCCCTACCAGGACTAACCGTTAGGAGTGGGACCCCAGTCTCCCCCTATCCCTGGGTCTGGGGGCCGGCCTCCCCCATTTCCCTGGAGCCTGATCCCCTGGCCCTGAGCTTGAGTCAGTCTGCTGCCTTCCTCCTCTGATCCCTGTCCGTGTGACCCATGGCCTCTTCTGGGGGGTCTTCCAGTCGGGGGGCTCCTTGCCCACAAGCCTCACCGTGCCCCAGTATCGGATACTGTCCCAGACTAACCCTTTCCCCTTTTTTCTCCTGTGTCCAGGGGTCTTCCTGTGCCTCCAGCTCAGCCCAGTCTGGCTTCTCTGCTGCCCCCTCCCCTTCCAGCTCAGTCCTGCCCATTTCTGACTGGCCCCTGCTTCTGGGCCTGGTCAGCCCTCAGTCTTGCCTTTGAGCGGCCCCTTAGCGATTTGGCCTCAAACCTTATCTTATCTCTCCCCACTGCTGGTGAGCCCTGTCCTCAAGCCCTGCTCTTCTGGGGCTCACCTGTCTGGGACTTGGGAGCTCAGAACATTGCCAGGGACCCTGGTGGAGTCACCTAGTCCTCCATCCTGTCTGTAGGCCCCATTCCTGCCTTAAAAGCCCCCATGTAGGGACTGGGTCAGACCTGTCCTGAGACTGCTGGTTCCTCCTTCCCCTTTGCCTTCTGCCCCCATTCTCCAAAGATGCTCTATTTTCTATGGGCCTGTTTCCCTCAGGCTCACTCTCCTATCTTCTTCTCTCAGAGTTAATTTCTTTCTTACAACCCGCTTATGTACCTGCCTCTTCCCCCCCCCATCACCTTTCATTTCCCTACAGACTTTCCCAGTTTTCCTGGGCTTCTCTCCTGGAGGCATTTGGAGGCTGTCACTCTTTTGCTTTAGGATTCCAGCTTCTCCCTAAGCTTGGGAGCAGCCCTGCTCTCAGGGGCATGGGGGTCCTTCCCACTGTTGTCTCCCAGATAGTCTAAATTGCTGGTGGCCCTTCCCAACCCCTCCCCCCATACCAGTTTCTTTGGGGATAGGGGAAGGCTTGGACAGTTGGTAGTGACAGGCTTTTGAATCTGCAGAGCATGTGTGCCTAGAAGAATTTATGTGTGATGGCATGTGTGCTGTGTTGGTGCATGATGTGTGCCGCTTTCCTTCCCCTCATCGTACATGGGCTGGAATCTGTACTGGAGAGAGAGAGAGACAGAGAGTGAGAGTGTGTGTGTGTGTATATGTGTATGTGTTTGTCTTGGGCCACCAGGAATCCATGGGGAAAGCCTAGGGTTTAAATTTCTGGTTCTGCCATTTGCTAGGTATTTAACCTTGGGCAACTGTTCAGCCTTAGTTTTCGCATGTTTTTAAAAAAAAAAAAGGCTATTAACCCTTGCACCTCCAAACTGCTGCCCTATGTATGATATCGGTAATGGTGGCTTACATTTATGTAGCATGTTCGAGGGTGCAGGGTGCTTTCTTCACAGTAACCCTGGGAGGCAAGTGCTACCTTCATTTTACAAGTGAAGAAACTGAGGCCCAGAAAGAGAAACACCAGTCAATGTCACACAGCCCAGGAAGTCTCCTGGCCCCAGTACCAGTACTTGTGCAGTGATCCAGCAGCTGCTGGGGGAAAGCCTAGCGGTGGCTACAGATCCCATCAGTCCCCTGCTACGCCTTCACAGACCAGCTAACATGGGGTAGTGGAATTCCTCTGTGACCCTGGGCCTCAGTTTCTTCATCTGTAAAACAAAGAGGGTACACTGGAGGATTTCCAAGGCCCCTTCTATCTCTTAATCCTCTCCTTTCAGCGTGGACTTTGGGTATCTGGTTGGCCTGGCCTGGAGTGGCCTTTGGGGAAGAACTGTGGGACATGCAGTGGTCCTGGTGGAATGACTCTGCAACCCGGGGCCCTGGATTCAGCGCTTCCTGCCTTTGTGCCTTTGGACGAGTCACTGACCCTCCCCTTCATCTCTAATGAAGGTGTCAGACTCCCTGGCTCATGAGGGCCCTTGCTGCACTGGGACCTTAAGCCAGGCACGGTTAGAGGGACTGATTCCTCCTGGTTACCTCAAAGATTTGGAACTCTCTCCCCTTTAGCATCAGCTGCTCCAAGTCAGTGCCCTTCACTATTTGGAGACTTTCTTCCTTCAACTCCTGAGGTTGGGTTTTGCCAGCCTTAGGCCCCTGCCATTACCTTGTTTCTTGGCCTGGGGAAACGAACCCCGGGGAAGAAGCAGTATGTTTTTCTGGGCTCTGCTTAATTGGGCCTCATGGGAGACTCCACAGCCCCAGTCTGGGAACTTCTATTCCTCTCGGGGAATGGGGTCCTGGGGTTGGATTATGTTTCCTCCCCCTGGGACCAGGCCGTTTCGCTTGACAGCCTGACAGCCTCTCTTCCCTCTCCTCTTTCCTTCTCCCTCCCCCATTTGTATAGACTCCTCTCTGGCAGTCTGCTTTGCGTCTTTTTCTCAATCAGCCCCTTGGCCCCACGGGCAGCCCATTCCCTGGGAGACTCCAAAGTTTGGATCATGGTTGAATTCAGCAAACCTTCATTAATAAGGGCCTCCCGTGTATGTGTGAGGCCATCTGCCAGGTGCTGGGGCTGCAGAAGTTTGTCTGGCCGTAGTGTTGAGGGCAGAAGGCTGCATTGGCCTCTGCTGGTATCCCCAGATGTCCCTGCCCTCCTTGTCTTCTGCTGATCACATAAGCCCTGAGCTCTGGTGCTGTATGTGTAACTGGAGGAATTTGGGGTGTGCTAGGGAGAGGCGTCTGGGGGAAGGTGTGTCTGTTGGTCTAAAGCCCCCGGGATAGGGGATAGTGTCTGGTTCCTCTTTCTTGCTCTTCTGACCGGGGCCCTCCTATCTTGACTCAGACTGAGGAGAGTAGAGGAAATGTTGAAAGGTGGTTATCTGCGTAGGGCGTCTCCCATCCTTGGAGACGAGAGCAACTCGAGAAATGTCCTGATGGTGTAAGCCTGGACCTGGTGTGGAGGTTTGAGTCAGGCCATGGTGGCCTCGCCTATCAAGTGAGAGGAGGGCTTGCTCCCTGCCCGCTCTGCAGCTGGGGGCCTCTGATTGAGCCAGGTTTGTGCCCAAGCCCAGCTCCTGAATAGAGCCAGTTCTTGGCTTCTTGAATGGCTTCTCAAGGTTGCTTTCTTTGCTACCTTTCCCCCATTCACCTCCTACCCATTTCTAGGTCAGAGTATATTTCATCTTGGATTGTTAGATGGAGTTCAAGGTTCAGCATGAGCTGAGATGTTTGATTAGACCTGGAGGGAGGCAGGCGAAATGGGCGGGGACTTGGGCTGGACTCTGAGTCAGAAGACCCAGATGTAAATCCACGTCCTCTCCCTCCATTGCTCCATGATTTTAGGCAGATCCTTTCCTCTGGCTGGGCCTCAGTTTCCCCATTCATAATATGTCACGTTTGGACTTGAGCTCTTAAGGGCCCTTGAAGCTGGAAGATTCTGAGATAAATACCATCCATGCACTGTCTGGTGCCTGTGGTGGCCCACGGAGTTTGTTGAGAAATTTGTTCAGATGCCGAGCCCTTTAAGAGTAGCTTGTAAGGAAGATTGTGTTTCCAGATAAATAAGGGGAGTCAAATACTGCCATGTTGAGAGTTTGGGACTTGTCATAGCCAAATTATGGTAATGGTTATACTTGTCTGTATGATTTTTTAAAAAAATTAGTGCTCTTCATTTGTTAAGCAAATAACGTGTAGTTTAAAACCTTGTTCTTGGACTTGCAGGGCAGTGGTGGGCTTGGGGACAGTCAGTCACCTTGGGCTGGGAACATTCTCTCAGATACTGGCTGAATGACCATACGCAAACTGCCCTTTTACGGCTCTGGATCTCAGTTTCTCCATAAGTAACGATGATAGATTTTTAAAATTCTCTGTTATTATAAACCTGACAAATAAGATTTTTCTGTTTTTGAACACAAGCGGAAAAAGATTGCATATAAAACTGCAAATCTTGGTGTAATGATTATAATGAATGATTATTCCTATTTCTATAGCCCTGTGGAGGCAGGATAGAAAGCTGACTTTGAAACCAGGAAGACCTGGGTTCAAATCCTGATTTGGACCCATCCTGGCTGAGCCTGGTTGAGGTGACAGGATTGACTTGCATTCCAGGCAGGCTTTAAGCTCAGCAGGTAGAGGGCCAGGCACTGGGTGGTATTTGTTGATGGGGGATTTGGACGGTTGTCAGGGCAAGGTGATGTCAGATCCCCCTTTGCTTCTGGCGTTCTATTTATCTTTGCTGTCATTGTGCCCAGAACACGGCTGGCTTCCCGGTGAGCTCTTGGCAAATCCAGCTGGCCAAGTGCTGATAGCCTCTTTACTCATGAACTCCTTTGAAAAGCACCACGTCAATTCTTTCCTCTCACCCCCTCCAAGTTCTTGCAATTAATATTTCATAGAATTGTTTTTCGGGACTCCTTTTCTCCAAGTGAAGTGTTCCTTCTCGTCGTCCCTGGGGTTTGCTAATGCTTGCCTTTTCTGTCTGTTGGGAGGCCAGCTGGTTTCTAATGTCAAGGCTTTGGTTGGCTGCAGAGGTTTGTCCCAAACCCAGAGTGACTGCCAGGGGCTGCCAACAGCAGATCATCTAAAGGGGGCCTGACTGAAAACATCCTTTCTCCCTGTTTGTTCCCTGGGAAGAGAGTGAATGGGTAGCACGTAGAAGGAGAGAGAATAATAATGAAGAATCCTGGGTCTGCGGCCCAGCACACTTACTGCTTTGCACATGATAGACACTTAATGAGTGTTCTCAAATTGACCAGTTTTACCCCCTCACACCTATCAGAGTGGCTAATATGACAAAACAGAAAAATGTTGCTTATTGGAGGGGATGTGGGGAAACTGGGACACTAATACATTGTTAATGGAGTTGTGAACCCATCCAGCCATTCTGGAGAGCAATTTGGAACTGTGCCCAGAGGGCTATAAAACTGCATACCCTTTGATCCAAAAATACTAGTGCTAGGTCTATGTCCCAAAGACATCCAAAACAAAGGAAAAGGACCTAGTTGTACAAAAACATTTATAGCAGCTTTGTGTGGTGGCTAAAAATTGGAAATCAAAGGGATGCCCATCAATTGGGGAATGGCTAAACAAGCTGTGGTATATGATTGCAATGGAATATTAATGTGTTACAAAAGTGACAAGCAGGATGATTTCAGAAAAACCTGGAAAGACTTAGATGAACTGTTACATAGGGAAGTGAACAGAACCAGGAGAATGTTGTACACAGTAACAGATAAAGAACTTAGCTGTTCAGAGCAATACAATGATCCAAGTTTTGATTGAGGACTTAGAGGTTCACATGTGGCCTCCAGGCCACAGATTCCCTGCCCCTGATCGAAGACAATCCCAAAGAACTAATGATGAAGCCTACTGTCTGTCTCCAGAGAAAGATCTGATATTGATTGAATACAGACTGAAGCATGCTATTTTTCACTTTTGTCTTCCTGTATAAAATGACTAATATGGAAATGTTTTACATAATTGCAAATGTATAACCTATATCTGATTGCTTACCTCTCTCAAGGAGGGGAGGGAGGGATCAAATTTGGAACTCAAAACTTTAAATAAAAATGTTTTAAAAATTGGGGGAAAAATTGACTTGTTTTAGTGTTTTAAAGTGTACAAAATTACCTTCTTCCACAACAGCCTTGGGAATACTGAATACAAGTATTACTTCCCTTTTGGAAGATGTGTAAACTGAGGCTCAGAGACTTGACTGTGGCCATATTGCTGTTATTAATGCTGATTTAAAAAACATTTTTACAAGGATTATCTCTCCTACTGCTTCCCCTTTCCCCACAATTGAATATTTTTAAAAAAGCCATCGTAACAAATATACATAGTCTGGTAAAAATTCCCATATTGATCACGTCCAAAGATGCATGCCACATTCTCCATTTTAAAGCCCGTCACCTCTCTGTAACAAGGTAGGTCTTCTGTCTCATCTTAGTTTTCTGGATCAGTGGTTTACTGTTGAATTGATCAGAATTCTTAAGTATTTGAAAGTTGTCTTTCTCTATAATGTTGTCATGTAAATTGTTCTAATTCTGCTCCTTTCACTTTGTACCAGTTCGTAGAGATCGTTTCAGTTTCCTCTGAATCTGTCCTTCATTTCTTTTGGCCCCATTGTATTCCATTTCATTCATATACTGTAATTTGGTTCGCCATCTCCCAGTAGGAGAGCAGCCTTTTAGTTTCCAGTTTTTAGCTACTACAAAAAAAAGCTGCTATAAATATTTCTGTGTATGTGGGTCCTTTTCCTTTTTCTTTGACTTCTTTGGGGTATAGACCTAATAGTGATTTTGCTGGTCAAAGGGTAGGCAGAGTTAAGTAACCTGGGGCAGAGTTCCAAATGGCTTTCCAGAATGGCTGGACCAGTTATGGCTCCCCCAGCAGTGCATTAGTGTGCTTGTTTTCTTGCAGGTCCTCCAACATTGATCATGTTCTTTTGTCATCTTCCTTCATCTTTGTGAGGTGGCACCTCAGAGTCATCTCTCAGATTTCTTTCTTAACTTTATTTTTTTTTTTTAGCCTTAAGATTTAAACCCAGCTCTCCTAATTCCTGCATTGTCTCTCTAAAGTGAGTACATGTCTATGAAATTCAGGGGTTTGGAGTGAACAATCTCTAAATTCTTTTGCAGCTCTAATATTTTATGACTCAGTTGTGATTTTCAAAAGTTTCAAGAGATAATTTCTGGGTAATTAGTCATTTTATTAATAATGCTTGCATTTTAATAAAAGAGTAGATAATAAAAGAGGTCAGGGGTACTCTGGAATGCCAAAGACAGTCATGGCTGCCAGCTCACAGTTTATATGCCCTTGGAAAAATGGGTGTTCCTGGGGGGGGGCAATCAACTCTGATTGTTTAATAATTAATGAGAGAATGAATATTACAATGAGATGTGGGCTCAGTATCATGAGGGGCAGAGAGAGTGGCATCATATCACTCTTGGACAAAGAGACTCTCTCTCCCCCCAGACCACCCCCAGCTTTGGGGAGTCTAATCAAAGAATTTATCCCCATCCAAACCCGAAGAACACAATGGGCTTCCCCACCTTAGATTAAATTCCTTATAAGGTTGAGGGGGGTCTGACTAGGATTGAGGAGAGTTTATTCAATCTCATTATCAGTTATGTCCTTCAAGAGACTGAACATTGAAATGAGGACTATAGAAAAAGGGGAACTCTGCATCTCCCCAAGTTATTAATAATCATTTCTCTCACATTGTAGTAAGCATTAAGGAATCTGAGGATTTGGAATTCAGTAGAGGAGACTAACATGGAATTAGGAAAAGGAATTGAAGACTGAAACACTTAAAAAAATCATTTTGGCCTTCCCTGTACGTGTGTTCGTCTCTACGAGGAGGGAGTAAAAGTGAAGGACAGTGAATGCTATTTAGTGGTAGCTCTAGCAGTCATCCCACCCTGATGCTGGTGCTCAGCGTTAGCCTGAATGGCTCGTTAATGTCTAGCATAAAAACACTTAAAGGCAAACCTGCCCTCCTTTGAAGTTGTGAAGAGAGTAGCTCTTTCCTGATTGGCCTTGGGAATTAATAGCAACAGCTAAGGTGCAAATGGTTTTATCTTGGCATTTTTGCTTGTAGCGAGCTATTGCCAACTGTTTGTGTTAGCTCGGCCTTGTCAACCAAACAGACACGAGCACTAATGCCTAGCTGTAGGTCTGGGTTGTGTTGCATCTGTTTGCAGTGTCCCTAACTGTAATATCCTCGAGGAAGAGATTTTACCCTAATTCACGGATCAACCATAGCTTATCAAAACTGGAAGGGCACTTAGAAATCATTAAGTCCAACCATCTTAGTTTTACCAGTAAGGAAACTGAGGCCCAGAGCAGCCGGGGCGGGGAGGGGGGGCGGGCTTGCCCAAGGTTAACAGCAGGTTAAGTTGATGACGGAATGAGACATCTCAAACTCAGCGTGTCCCAAACTGAACTTACCTTTCTCCTCAAACCTCTGAAAGGCATCACTAGTCTTCTAGACTTCCAGGGATGTACTCTTGGCATTAATCTCACCTCTTCATGCTCCCTCACCCCAGGTACCCAATTAGCTGCTAAATCCTGTCTTGTCTGCTTTCTCATCTTTTTCACCCAGCCCCTCCTCTCCACTGCAGCAGCCGCTACCTTGGTCCAGGCTGCCGTCACTTCTCACCTAGATTTTTGCAACACCCTCATTGAGGCGGGTCAAGGCTGTCTCCCTGCCTCAAGTCTCTCTCTGCTGCAGCCTATCAGATTCGACCCCTTGACTCTCCTACGTCATTTTTCAGTTGTGTCCGACTCTTCGTGACCCTATTTGGGGTTTTCTTGGCAAAGGTACTGAATTTTACAGAGGAGGAAACTGAGACAAACAGGGTGAAGTGACTTGCCTAGGGTCACGCAGCCAGTGAGTGTCTGAGGCCAGATTGAACTCATGAAGATGAGTCTTCTTGATTCCACGCTCAGTGCTCTATTCACTGGGCCACCCAGCTCTCTATAGCTTTTAAAACCATATAAACTTTCCCCAAATTAATTTTTAAAAAATTTAAATTTTCAGTTCCAAATACGCTCCCTCCCTCTCCCCTTCCCCTGCTCATTGAGAAGGCAAGAAATATGAAGCCCATTATACATATGAAGTCATGTAAAACATTTCTACATTAGCCATGTTCTGAAAAAAAAAAGGAGCAAAAAAATAGATAAAGAGAAAAAATATTCTTCAGTCTGTACTCTGAGTCCATCAGTTTTCAGTCTGCAGGTGGATAACATTGTATATCATGAGTCCTTTGGAGTTGTGGTGGCTCATTGTGTTGAACAGAGTTATTAAGCCTTTCACAGTTCATCTTTACATTATTGCTGCTGTTGTAATCAATGTTCTGGTTTTCTCACTTGGCATCAGTTCATCCAAATTCTACCCAGGTGTTTCTGAAACTCTACCCCTCCTCATTTCTGACAGCGCAATACATCCATCTAACCTGACTTTTCAGCTTCATTGGACAGAATTCCTTTTCTCGGACTCTGCCTTCCAGCCAGACTGACCTTTTTTCTGGTCCTTACGCAGGACAGTCCTCTCAGTCCCTGGGCCTTTGTGCTGGCCAATTGCTTCTTCCAGGAGTAATCCCTCTCTTCCTTTGAGATGCAGTTCAGGCACCATCTTCTGCATGAAACTTTTCCTGATCCTCCAAATGCTCCCAAATACCCTTGTATTTAACTGTTTGGTATGTACCTGTATTCACTCAATATTTGTGGTGTATATATTTATAGGTGTCCTCGTCTCCCCTTTGAGAATGTTAGCCTCTTTCAAGTAGGGGTTGTTTCATTTTTGGTACTTATATGTCTTAGCACCTAACTTGGTGTATGGCACATACATAGTAGGTGCTTCATCAATCTAGCTGCTTGATTCATTCACACCCGGGACTTCTGGCTTCCAAGTAGTCCCACTCAACTTGTCCAGGCCACTGGATCCTATTCCTCCGTGCGATCCCTAGGATGGGAGAGCTTCTTCAGCGGCTGAGGGCTCCTCTGCTTTCTCCCTTCTCACAGGCACCCGGAATGCAGTGCTCAACACGGAGGCGAGGACGGTGGAGGCGGATGTGCTGAGCCGCCGCTGCGTCATGATGCGGCTGGTGGATTTCTCCTATGAGCAGTACCAGAAAGCCCTCAGGCAGTCGGCCGGGGCTGTGGTCATCATCCTCCCTCGGGCCATGGCTGCTGTGCCGCAGGACGTCATCCGAGTATGTACTGTCACCGACACCCCACGGCTCCTTCCTCTCCTGTCCCCCCGCTGCCTCGGCCACACTCGGCCCCACGCTCAGCTCCCAGGTTTGATCAGCAGTGCTTGTCGGGAGACCACGCTAGGACTCTGCAGACTGGGCTTCTAAACCTGCTTCTGTCACTCACCAGCTGGGGGACCCGGGGCAGCACGTCCTTTTTAGCTCGATGGGTCTCAGTTTCCCCATCTGTAAAATGATAGAATTGGATTGAATGGCCTCTTGAGCATTTAGCAGTTCTTTGATCCTGTGCCTTGGGCATTAATCCCTCTTCTTGTCACCCTTGATCCCTGTTCGTCTTCCCTGCTCTCCTCTTCATTTCCATGCCCCGCAGTGGCTCCATGTGGGTCCTTTCTCTGCTAGTATAGTCAGTCAACAGCAAGGATTTATTAAGTCAGTTAATAAGCATTTATTAAGCACCTACCGTGTGCCAGGCACTGTGCTGGGGAGATATGTAGAGAGGCAAAAAACAGTCCTTGTTCTTGTGTGACTCCCCCTCCCCCTCACAGTCTAAAGGGAGATTGGGAGAAGCTTACGTAGAAGGCAGGATTTAAGCTGGGACCTGAAGGAAGCCAGGCAGCAGAAACAGGGAGGGAGACAATTGCAAGTGAGGGAGCAGCCCATGAAAATGCCTAGTCAGGAGATGGGCCTTGTTCCAGGACCTGCCAGGAGGTCAGTGTCACCGGACTGCAGAGTGGGACGGGGCCAAACAGGGTTTTGTGTTTGATTCTGGAGGTGACAGGGAGACGGTGGAGTTGATTGAGTAGGGGAGTGATGTGGTTGTATGTGTGCTTGAGGAAAATCACTTCAGTGGCTGATGGAAGATGGATGGGAGTGAGGGGGGGCTTGTGGTGGGCAGCCCCCCGTAGTTAGGAGGCCACATTTGAACTCAGGTCTTCCTGACTCTCGGTCTAGTGATCTATCTACTATGTCACCCAAGGACGACACCACGGTGGCATTTCTTTAGCCCTTTAAAGCTTGCAATTCACCTGACATGTTATCTCACTTGATCCTCAAAATAACCTTAGCAGTAGGTCTTGGGACCTGAAGAGACTGAAGGACCAGGAGATCAGGGTAACTGGGGAGGCCTCGGTGTGCACTTTGATGCCCCTGGTATAAGAGAGGAAGACTATGGGCCGGGTAATGGACTCCTTGAGCACAGTGCCTGGCACCGGGGTGGCGGTGTCAGAGGAGACAAGGAGAGATGCTATTAAGGTCAGATCGGCAGGCCTTGAGAGCAGAGAGTGACACCTAGGCTGTTGGCTGGGATGACTGTGCCGGTGCTGGAGGTGGAAGGACAAAAGAGGAGCCCTCCTCTGCCTGCAGGGAGCTTATGTTCTCCCAGGGGAGAGAACATAGGCACCTCTCATGCAGGGTGATTTGCAGGGGCAGTCTAGGGGATCAGGAAAGGCCTTCTGGAGGCCAGTGCTTGAGCTGAGCTTTGAGGGAGACTAGGGATTCTGTGACATGGAGGTGAGAAGGCATGGGGTGTGGGGGGAGATACTGGTGCACGGAATGGAAAGGAGAGATTTTGTATGGTGTGTCATCCACAAGGTTGGTGTGTAGTGTAGGAGATAAGGGGGGGTCGTGTACAATAAGACTGGAAAGGCAAGACAGTCGTTTGAGGGGCTGGTCACAGTCAGGGAGGGTCTTTTAAGGAGAAGAGAGACTTGGATGTGAATGGAGGCATCAGAGAATCAGACGGTGGATGAGCAGAAGCCAGGGGTTAGAGGGGCATTGTGGAGAAGAGGACAGGGAGAGGGTGGGCCCTGACCAGAAGGACGGCTTCTCTTCTCTTGTCTCCAGTTGAGACATCCACGTGGCATCTTGCCATTTCTCCTGCCCCTCTGGTTTGCCTCACGGGGACCAGCACCCTCTAGTTAGGCCCCGTGGACCCTCTGCTGTAGAATGGTTGAGCTTTGCCAATGGGTCAGTGCTTGTCTTGGACCATGCAGGCACCCCGCCGTTTGATGCTGAGTATGTCCTGGTCTGCCCTCCCCTCTTTATTTTGACTCTGGCCCTGGAAACAGTAATCAGATCAGTACTGCCATTGCTTTTGGAAAGGGCCAGACAGTCACTTGCCCTCCTGGTCCATGCCAGACCTCCCTTTCCTGGCCACTTCTTGTCTTGTCTCCCCTGTTAAATGTAAGCTCCTTGAGGGCAGGGGATGGCTCACTTATTTATATCCCTAGCATCCAGCACAGTGCCTGGTACATAGAAGGCACTTAATGCTTTTTTCATTCATTCACATTTCCCATCCTCATCCTGGTGGCAGTGGTCTGCCTGCCTGCAGGCCATTTGTCCTCTTTTCTCAATTATTGATCAAGATTTTTTAAAGTGCTTCCTGTGTGCCATGCACCGTGCTTAAGGAGTTCCTTTCCTGGCCTGTAGTCTTCAGTCTCTTCAGGTCCAGGACCTACTGCTAAGGTTATTTTGAGGATCAAGTGAGATAACGTCAGGTGAACTGTGAGCTTTGAAGGGCTATAGAAATGCCACCATGATGTCCTTGGGTGACGTAGTAGATAGATCACTAGACCTCGAGTCAAGAAGATCTGAGTTCAAATGTGGCCTCAGGCACACACTAGCCAGTACGACCTTGGGTAAGTCACTTAACCTCTGTTTGCCTCAGTTTCCTCCTCTGTAAAATGGGGATAATAATAGCACCTGCCTCCTGAGGTTGTAGGGAGGATCAAATGGCCTGTGAAACACTTTGCAAACATTCAGTCAGTCTATAAATGTTGGTTCTTGTCATTATTAATTATTGTTATTGTTAATAGTAATAATGCCTCAATCCTGTATGGATGTAGTCACACCCTAATCTCACTGACCCCACACATGATCAGGGTCTCTTTTTTCCCAGTCCTAACCTCCCCATGAGGTTGTGACTTTCTCAGGAGGCCCTGGGTGTTTAGGTTTTGCCAAGAGCAGTGTGGGTGTGACCTCATCTCTAGGGACATTCCTCTTCCCTTTGGGCTCCTGGTCCGGTGGCTTATGAGGCTGGCAGGGACACCTCTCCCTGTGTTTGCATTCATTAGGGATTCTTGTTCAGGAAGGGCCTGGGGGCACCGACGATGACAGTATTTATGTCTGCGTAATCCTCTTGGGTTAGACTGAGTTCCTGGAGAGCTGTGCTGTTTCTTACCTTTCTTTGTATTCCCAGCACTAGCACAGAACCTGGCACGTAGTAGGTACTTAATAATTACTTGTCGACTTGTTAGAAAGCATTTTATTCCTTGTGTCTTCACAGCTCCCCAGTGAGGTTGTGTACATGTACCTATTTTACAGATGAACAAATTGAGGCCCAGAGATCAGAAGTTGGCCCTGGTCACACGGCTGGTAAATGGTGAGGACCGGAGACTGGAGGCTCGGTCTTCTGACTCTGGGATGCAGGGCCCCGGCCCTCCTAGTCACGGTGTCTGACCCCTTTACTTCGTCAGCACTACTTCCCATCCACCCTTTCCTCCCGTCCCCCCTGCAGTCTGGAGCCCAACTTTTAGCCCACCTCTGTCATTCGTCGGAGTTGGACGCCGTCTGATGGGGTCCATTCTGAGCCCAAGCTCTCTCTTCTTCCATTAGCAATTCATGGAGATCGAGCCTGAGATGCTGGCCATGGAGACCATCGTCCCCGTCTACTTTGCAGTGGAGGATGAGGCCTTGCTTTCCATCTATGAGCAGACACAGGCTGCCTCTGCCTCCCAGGGCTCAGCATCTGCAGCTGAAGGTAGGGGCTGGCGGTGGGCAGCCACTTCAGCGTTCCTGGTGTCTCTGTCAAGGGCACTTGGGGCTGGGGCTTGGCTGGGGGTGGTCACTCTCCCTTCAGTTCCCGTGGAAAGCTTTCATTCAGGGGATAATTGGACATGTTCTCATCCCATTTCTTCCCTCCTTCTGTGACTCAGCAATGGATCAGCATTTCATCTCACTCCTGGAAAACAAACAAGCATTTTAATTTATTTTTCATTATTAATTTTATTGAACATTACTAAAAAAGCTACATCCATTTATTTTATTCATTTAAAAATTTTCAGTTTTATTGGTGGCTTTTGTTTTTTTACCACGCTTCCCACATGCACTCTTTGAACTTCCTGGTTAAGCCCAGCCACCCAAGCTGGTGACTGCCTCTGACGGGCCCTGCCCCTTCCCACCTCCAAGAGCAGGTGAGGGGAATTTCCTGCTTTGCGTGCCCTTGGGCCAGGCTTTTCGCCTCCAAGGTCCTCAGTTTTTCCTGGACGCCCCCAGGGCCCTTCCAGCTCTCCTGGATCATCCTTTCATCCTCATTTCTTTTCCTGGCTCCAAATTGCTCATCAGGCCCCTTGTGTTCAGCAGGTTTTGATGGTATTGCAGTCATTGTGGACATGGTTTTCCTGGTTCTGCTCGTTCCCCTCCCTGCCATCAGCGCATTTGTTGTCTCTTATGACACTCCCATATCACCATATTCCATTACATTCCTAGACCGCTTTGTTCAGCAGTTCCAGTCAATGGGCCCCTTTTGGCTGCCCCCAAACATGCGGAGGCAGCATTTTTAAATAAGTCTCTCTTTCTGGTGTCTCCCATCTCTATCTAATTAAATGGTAAGAGTTGTTGTAGGAGGACAGTGTCATTTTTGTACTGGAACTATGTGCCGAGGCCATTCACTAGCTCTTGGCCATAGAGGACACTCGCTGTGGCCTCGGGGGATGGGGGAGGTGAGGATGGCGCTTGCCACATCTCCAGAGGGATGGGCTCTCTCAAAGTGTTTGGAGAAGAGGCTCCTAGGGAGAGAGGGTGAGGAAGGCCTCCTCCCCTCACCCTATCAGTGGGGCTGGTTCTGCTTTGAAAAACCTCGACTGGAGGAGTGGGGCCTGAGCGCCGTGCCTGTTGTCTCTACAGTTCTGCTGCACACAGCCACTGCCAATGGCTTCCAGATGGTTACGAGTGGGGCCCAGAGCAAAGCTGTGAGCGACTGGCTCATCACCAGTGTGGAGGTGAGTGCCTTGAGACCAGAGCTCCCAGCCAGCCCCGACGAACTGGAGACCTTCCCTTAGTCCTTGTTGAATTTACAGAGGAACAAAAGTAGAAATACAGAAAACTTCCTTTTTTAAAAATATATTTTATGGATTTAATATTGCCTAAATTTCCTGGTGTATTTCTGCCTTCAGTGGAAGCCATCCCTTAGAAGGAAGAAGAGAAAAAAATCATTACACTGAAATTACATAGAATACATACAATCAGTACATCCGGAAATATCTGGCATGATATGCAGTGTCCCCCACCCCCATGTCCCACCTCTTCAGAGGAGTAGGGGAGGCCTGCAGACAACGTTCAGTCATTTGCATGCGGTATCCATCGACAACTGCCAAAGGAACTTCCCCTTGCCAACCATCAACTTTGGGGCCCACCCTGCCCTCGTTGGCAGTGGTATATGCTCAGTAAATGCATAGTGTGATAGGATGAAGCTGAATCTGATAGATTAATGCCTGTGTTCACGGAGGCTGCAGTAGACTTGGATCCACTGTGTTCTTCCTTAAGAACCTAATGCTCCTCTCCCCCTTTGGTGGCTCCTATCCATGCCTTAGCCTAGTGTGAAGATGAGTCTGGGTTTTTGAAGGCTCTTGAAGTGGAGGGGATGTGCTGGCAGGGGCTACCCCACTGGAAGGGCCTTCAGTGCAGGCCTGATGACAGACCCCCAAGTTAGAGAGGCTCAGGAAAAAGATGCAGGAACAGCGTTTTGCTTTCTGCCTGGGGGAGTTGGGCAGAACTGCTATTGAAGAGACTGGGCTGCCTTGTTCATACTGGGAGTCTGTTGCAGGGCTTTGCAGTGGGCACTGCTCCAGGGGCCTGTGGCAGCGCCTCTGCTGACTGAGGCTTTCTGTTCCTGTGCCCCTGGATAGAGAGTCCCAAGAGTGGGTTTCCAATCCCCGCTCTGGGACCTTAGGCTAGACTTCACCTCTCCAGCCTGGACGTTCAGAGTTCTTCACCTGGGGTCCAGGAGCAGGCTCTTTGATATTTTGATCCCCAGGCCCCCGAGGGTCTTTCACGAAGGTCTCTTGCTGCTCTAAAGTTTGGACCCCGTGATGCTCCCCCAACAGCAGACTCTGTTTCAGGGAGTTTTGGCTGGAGCCCTTCTGCTTGCTCCCCTGCCAGTTTGCCTGGAGGTGGCATCTATGCCCAGGTGCGTGCGGGTCTTCCTGCCCCTCTCTCCACACCAGGGATGTTTGGCTTCATCTTCTTTCTGCTCCTTAGCCACAGGGACTGCCTGTCTCTGGTGGCCAGATGGTTTGGGACTAGCAGCTTCAGAGGGACTGACCTGTGGTGGAGAGAGTGGACGTGAGGAAGACTTGGGTGTGCGCCCCACCTTGGGCAGATCCCTGTGTAGCTGAGCAGGTGGCGATGCCGAGCTCACGGCGTTGTTGTGAAATTCAAGTGAGAACCACCAGCCTGGAAGCCCTGTATTCATGTCAGCTGTTGTTTACTAGTAGCTAATAGAAATGTCCACAAATAATTGAGTGCCTTCCTTATAGGAAGGCCTGGGGGGAGCTGCAGTGAGGCTGAGGTGAACAGGCTACATCTCCTGCCCTCCCAGAGCTTTCCTTCAGTTGGGAAGGTGTGGTGGGTCCATCCGCTATGGGAAGTCAGGCGGTGGGCAGTGTTTCCTGTGGATGGTGCAGACTCAAAATGCTGAGAGAGTTCCTGAGGAGGGAGTGCTGCTTTGCCTTTCTGGGCATCAGGGAAGGCCTCCTGGGAGAGGTGATGCCTGATCAGAGGAAAGGATTCTGGGCTGGTCAGTTCTGGGACAGTGGGGTCATTGTGCTTAGAGCTTTCTTGTGGGTGGGTAGTAGATAAGGTTGGAAAGGCAGGCAGGGTCAGGTGGGGAGGGCCCCGAGTGCCCACTATCATCCTGTTGTGCTGGCATCAACCCAGCTCAGCCTCGACGTCCCTGGCTTGGTCACTTTATGCCGACCTCCACGAGCCTGGGAGCTCTTTGAGAGCAGGGCTGGCTTTTGCCATTCTGTGTCCCCGGCACTCAGCCCAATCAGTGCTTGGGAACACAGTGAATACTTGTTGACTGGTTAATGTGTGCGATCTTCCTTGATCCTCGCAGTGACCTTATGGGGTTATGGTTGGAGCAGAATCACCATTTTACAAGTGAGGAAACTGAGGCCTCACATAGGTTAAGCCCAAAGTCACAAAGTAAGTGGCAGAGCTGAGACTCGAACCCAGGCCTTTTGGACTGTAAGTCTGGGGTTTATTCCAGCTGCCCCAGGCTGCTGTTAGGGACTGAGACTTTTGTATGAGAGAGTGATGGGATCTGGGTAAGCCAGTGTAGGAGGGCCCCAGCAGGGCTTTGGCCAAGCCTTGGTGTGCCTGTTTCCCTCCCTAAGAAGTCGGGAATCATCCTTTGCAGTTAGGTGGTACCATAGTGCATGGGGCACTGGACCTGGCCTCAGGGAGACCCGGATTCAAATCCAGCCTCAGGTGCTTACTAGCTGTGTGACCCTGGGCAAGTCACTTAACCTCTGCCTCATTTTCCTCAACTGTTAAATGAGGGGATCAAATGAGAGAATATTTGTAAAGTGCTTAGCACAGAGCCTGGTACACAGTAGGTACTAAGTAAAATGCTGGGGCATGAGGAGGGTGGACGGAGGTGGGGCACAACTTGAACTGCTCAGAGTTTGGAGTACAAGACTGGTGGCCAGGCACGTGGACTGTGGGGGGTGTGTGTGTGTCTGTGCCTGTGTGCCTGTGTGTGTCTGTATGTGTGTGTGTGTGTGCGCGTGCCTGTGTGTATCTGTGTGTGTGTGTGTGGTGGCACGTTCTTTTTCCAGGTGGTGACTGCCCCCTCTTGGAACCTTTCCCCCCAGCCAGCCCTTGCACTGCTGACCGTGGTTTTCTTCACAGGGCCGGCTGACAGGACTGGGCGGAGAAGACCTTCCCACCATTGTCATCGTGGCCCACTATGACTCCTTTGGGGTGGCCCCGGTACGTAATCTCCCCCCACTGTCCCCTCTCGGGTTTCCTTTGCCTTCAGGAGGGCCGGGGTGGGCGGGCAGAGCTCTTGGTGACTTCAGCCAAACCCTAAGGCAGCTGCTGTGTTCTAGTGGCTTTCTCATGGAGCAGACTCCAATGGTAGTGGGATTTCTGTGCTCCTGGAGCTGGCCAGACTCTTCTCGAGGCTGTACACCTACAAACGCACCCACGCGGGGTAAGTGGGCCTGAGGCCTTCTCTGAGGGGGGACGGGGGCTCGGCACTATCTGCCGCCCGTGAGTCCCGGGGACTTAGAGCTGGCGGAATGCTGCAGTGGGGCCCAGCCAGGGTGACTCAGGATCCCCCTTTGCCCTCCTGTCCTACCCCCTTTCTGTGGTTTTGCCCTTCTCCTCTCCTCCCCTTTCCTCCTCCTGTCTCCTGCTCTTCTCTGCCCCCTTTTCCCTGTCTTCACACTATCAAGGCCAGCTGGATGCCCCCACGATCCTGATCCTAGCTCTTTTTTGCTGTGGGGTCCCCTCTCTCCATACCCAGACTTAGAATCATGCATTCTCAGTGCTGGAAGGGACCTTTAAGCTCAACTAGTGCAAGCGTGCACCCTGTGTAGTGGTCTCCATGGCAACCTCCTTGACAGGTGGTCGGTGTCTGCTTGAATGCTTCCTGAAACTTCCCTCCTTGCAGGAGCGTCTTTGTTAGCGGTGCTTCCTAGGCTTGAGCTGGAATGGCCCTCCCTATATTTTCTCCTCCTGTTTGTGCTAGCTCTGTTCTTTGGGGTTCCATATTGATTGATCATTGGGGTCACAGCATCCATCTATTACAGATGAGGGAATTGAGGCCCAGAGAAAGTGAGGAACTTGCCCCCAAGGTCACATAGGGAGTCAGTGACAGCTGGGATTGAACCCGGATCCTTCCCAGATACTTCAGATTTAGTATGTTCTTTCCATTCTGCCAGGCTGCTTGTGTTCTCCCCGAAGTAGGCTCTTTTCAGACTTTACTCATGAATTTCCTGCCTTACTCCATCAGCATGTGATTCCTGAGTTAGAGTGCTGTCCTAATGCCTAGAGTTGACATGTATATGATATGGAAGCTATGAGAGTCCTTAGAACATAGAATATCAGAACTGGAGGACCCTTAGAACCCATAATGTCAGAGCTGGAAGGGCTGTTAGAACCCAGAATATCAGAGCTGAGAGGAACCTTAGAACACAGGATGTCAGAGCTGGGAAGGGCCTTAGAACAGGGAATGTCAGAGCTGGGAGGGCCCTCAGACTGTTTTTGGTTTTGTTTCCTTGGCACGGAGCCTTCCTCACGAGCTTTCTCAGTGTTTGTTGAATTGAATTGGTGAAAGAGGTACCAGTTTTCTTGTTCAAAGGCTAGCTATGCTGGGGCTCTCAGAGATCCCTATTTCCCCAGTAACATAAAAGGTCCCTCCATGTGTTTTCCACTTTCAAGGACTTTCCTGGTGTCTGAATCTTGGATAAACACTTTGGCACAAAATTCATAATAGTGGAAGAAACCCTTGAATTGGGAACCAGTCACTTTGGGTACCAGAACGAGGTTTTCTCTTAACTCATTTAATGACCTTCATCAAGTCATTTCCTCTCTGAATCTCAGTTTCTCCATCTGTAAAATGAGGGGGTTGGATTAGATTACTTCTAAGATTCCTCTTAGTTGTGACATCCTGTGCTCTAAGGGTACCGTCATGCTGACATTGCATGTTCTAAGGGCCCTCCCAGCTCTGACAGTCTAATAGTTCTGTTTTCCACCTGGCAGGTACAACCTGCTGTTTTTTGCCTCTGGTGGGGGCAAATTTAACTATCAGGGCACCAAGAGGTGGTTAGAAGACAACCTGGATCACACAGGTGAGTCAGGGGCACTGCTGGGGTGGCCGAAGAAGGGGAAGGCTAGAGGAAGGGCTGGGCTGGGAGGAGAGGGACATCTGCCAGGCCGCAGCCTGGCAAACAGTGGCAAGCTGTCTTGGGAGAACTGGTTTCCGCCTGTTTGCCCCCTTGCTCAGGTGGGCCAGCTTGGCTTCTCCCTGTCACCTGTACCCCCCCACCTTTCAGACTCCAGCTTGCTGCAGGACAATGTGGCCTTTGTCCTCTGCCTCGACACCTTGGGCCGAGGGAATGGCCTGCACCTGCATGTGTCGAAGCCTCCCAAGGAGGGGACCCTGCAGTATGCTTTCCTTCGAGAGCTTGAGATGGTAACAGCCTGGGGGGGGTGCATGGAGGCGCAGCCAGGGGTGGGTAGGGCCCCACATCCCTCTTTTGTCCTGCTTGAGGGATGCCTGGTGGGTCGGAGCAGGGGCCGTCCCCGGGGTACCAGCAAAACCTGGGCTAGTGCTCTTCCCCTCCCCATCTCCCTTCTCAGAGCTGGCAGCTAGTGCTCCCACCTCCCGGGGAAGGCCAGAGCCTCTGCCTGAGCCAGGTGGCTCCTGCTGGCTGTCCAGGTAAAGGACCAGAGCTCTGCAGCTGTCTCTGGCCGCCATCTCCCCTCCCCCATCTCCAGCCAAGCAGCAGCCTGGTTTCTCTGCAGGTGGCTGCCAGTCAGTTCCCAGAGGTGAGCTTTTCTATGGTGCACAAGAAAATCAACCTGGCAGAGGACATGCTGGCCTGGGAGCATGAGCGCTTTGCCATCCGCCGGCTCCCGGCGTTCACAGTCTCCCACCTGGAGAGCCATCGAGACGGGCTTCGAAACAGCATCATGGATGTCCGGTAAGCAGCCTGGGGCTGGCTGTCCTCTTTCCTCCTTCCCTCTCCAAGCATTTCTTGGGGGCGGCTTCTCGTCTGCCCTCAGCCAGGCCCCAGGGAGCTGCCTTCTCCCTGTGGGTGGCTGTCTTCTCCCTTGAGCCTCTTAAAGAAGCAGGACCAGGCAGGGGTCAGGGTTAGGGGAGCTTCAAGGCCCAGGAATGTTCACCAAGGTCCTGCGGCTTGTACAGGTCAGAGGTGTGATTGGAGTTGAGGGGGCCTCAGCGGCCTTTCTGTCCAACCCGTGGCCAAGCCTCTGCTGGAAGCTCCTTGGATGGCCCCACTCGCTGCCCCAAGCCTAGGCACACTGGCACACTGAGGCCTTTCCTCCTTCCCTCCTTTCTTCCTTTCTTCCTTAGTCTTTCCTGAGGACCCTCAGTACACTTGAGGGCTTCAAACCCTTCTCCCCTGCCAGCATTCCAGGCCTGGGGGGGTCTCTGATTCAGTCCAGCAAATACCTGGTGGGCACGAAGGTGCTGTGCTCATCGTGGGGCACAGGATTGAAAAGGGATCTGCTCCCCAACCTTAGGGAGGTTCCATTCTAATGAGGATGGGGTGGGGCCGACTGGGTTTTGGGATAGTTGGGTACCACACAGACAGAAATAGTCCTTGGAGTCTTTCCTTGTGGTGGCATTGTGGCATGAGCTAGTGAAATGAGAAGCCAGGGCTTGGCCCAGGCAGGAAACAGAACAGCATGGGGCTGGCGTGGTCCTGGAGAGGGGCCATGGGGCAGGAGGAGAACTCCGAGCATGGGAGAGCACCGTGGCATGTAGAGGGGAAAGAGATGATTGGAATCCAGCCCCGTCTTGTGGAAAGGAAGAAGCTGAGGCCCCAGGGTGTTGGAGACTTGTTCCTTGTCACACAGGGGGTGGCACCTCTCCATCCCAATCAGAATCCTCCTCAGGACATTTTTGCAGCCGGCTAAGGAGTCATCCAGAGTGCACAGACACCCCCTGGGGCAAGGGGCAGTGTTGCCAAGAGCCTCCACTGGGCAGAGGAGGCCAGGGGCTCTTCAGTCTCAGACAGCTGGGTACTGCTGCAGCAGGGCTGGCAGAGAGGACTGGGGGCTAGGAAGCAAAGCCCAGCGTTGTCCTCTCCCAGGCTGCACTTGCCTGATGGGCCTCCCAGAGGAACACCTGGGGCTGGAGGAAGAGAGGTGGACAGTTTTGCAGGCCTCCTGCCGTTCTGCCTGGCAGCTCGGGGCCGAGCAGCGGGAGCAAATGAGGCTCGCTCCGGGGGGGAACAGGAGCCAAGGCGTGTCCAGCCAGCCCTGGTCTGGGCCTCGCTGCCTGGGGGCAACTTCTCAGGCTGGGGGCCTGGTCCAGTCACTGCACAGCCTCTTGATCTAGGGGAAGGAGTGTGGCCTCTGGGGCTGCAGTGCCCTCTGTGTGATTGGGCCCCAGTTATTCAAACCTCTCACACCTGCTTTCTCATCTCTAAAACCAGGCTTTATCCTCTCAGTCCTTATGTTACCTCACAGGTCGTTGGGTGGTCCTACAGATACTGGAGTTAGTATCATTACCACTGTGGTGCTTCAGCAGAGCCATCCCCACCTGGGTGTGAGTCTGCGACGGCACCCCTCCATGCCTTCTTAGCCTGTGCATGTCTCCCTCCTGTCTTCTGTAAATACACCAGGGACTCAGAGACCTCCCCGTGGCCTGGGCACCTGCCTCCCTTTCCTTTATCTTACAGTGTTTGCCCTCACGTTCTTCCTCACTCTTCCCAAGGACTGCTCACCTCTTTTTCAGTCTGTCCAGGTCCTTGATACTCGGGCATGTCACTACTGGCAGTTTGTCACACCTCCCACAGTGGGGTGTTTCATTCTCATCTTGCTTTTTATTTCCAATACTGAACCTGTGAAACAGAGAGGGCTTTTCTGCCCCATGCTTCCTCTCTTTCTCCCACAGATGTATGTCCAGTCTGTGCTGGTGCTGGGGCCTTGGGGACATAGAAGGGTGCGCTCTGTCTCATAGAGTTGGTAGTCTAATGAAGAAAGATGAGATGTGCAGAAATAAGTGGGATCTGGGATCCTTGGCCTCCTGTGCATCTTCCACAAGGAGTGCATCCGTCCAGTGAGCTGAGGGCCTTCTCTGGACGTCTTGACGTTGTGTGGCTCCTGGAGGGGTGGGTGCCCTGGATGTCCCTTACTTCTGCTATATGACCAGCCCACCTCCCTTTCTGGGTCATCCGTCTCTGTGACGCCCCTGATGCTGTTGTTCTGGTGACCAAACACATCTCCAACACCTTTTGATGAACCCAAAGCTTCTAATTCTCTAGATTCTCATGATTTTTCATGACACAGTCATACAGTGATATTAGAAGAACAGTGATGTTTAAAACACAGGCTTTTGTTTCAAAGAAAACCACGGGGTCCTTAAATGCAGGGGACATGTCCCCAAAGACAGCTTTCCTTTTGGGCCATCTTGTCCATTCCCAGGGTCTTTCTGCTCCAGCTGCACATATAGTCTGGCAGCAGGAATTCAGCACCCTCTTGGGGTTTCCTGTGTAGATGGTTCAGCCAAACACTTTTGAGCGAGTCTTGCTCTTTAGGGAGAATCTGCCACGATTGAGGGCAAACACAGGAGCATCTGAAGGCTGTCACCGTTGCTAGGGAACCCCTCCTACCCCCAGTTTGGACTCTGATGGACACCCTCCAGGACAGTAGCAAACGCTTTTGGGGAGCACACTCAGTCCCTTTGCTTTGTGCCTCGGCTCTTGAGCAGAGGGGTCTATCCGGCTTGTTAATGCCTTTTCAGGTTTGATTTTGACATGTTTATAGGAGGTGCCTTGTTGGGGGAGAACTTGCCAAGCAGTGTTTTGCTCTTAAGAACTACATTTTTTTTAAGTCACCAAACAGTAACCACCAAACCAGAGGAAGAACGTGAGGGCAAACACTGTAAGATAAAGCAAAGGGACGTAGGTGCCCAGGCCACGGGGAGGTCTCTGAGTCCCTGGTGTATTTACAGAAGACGGGAGGGAGACGTGCACAGGCTAAGAAAGCATGGAGGGGCGCCATCGCAGTTGTGTGACCATAAAGACCTGTGAAGCTGTAGAAAAGGGACTGGAAATCGGCACCTTCTCTGTAATGCAGAGCCTCACAGAGAGTTGCTTGGGGCACTGCGACTCACCCAGGATCGCACAGTTAGTATGGCCCAGGGTCAGAACTTGGACCCAGGTCTTTCTGGCTTGCATGCCACCTCTCTTCTCCCTACACCGTGCTGCGTCTGGCAGTGAAAAGGCTGCTGTGGATTTATTTTCATGAAAGTTTTGAAGAGGTGGGAAGGTAGGCATATGGGGGAAAGTAGTTACTTGTATTTTCTTAGCCAGCCTTTTGTGGTAATAAGCTCTGTGGCTCCCCCCACCTCCCACCCCCAAGTGCTTGGTTTCTTTCCTTCTTTCGGCTCTGTCCCCTCCAGCACATGTCCCACACCTGGTCTCTTCGCTGCTCTTTCCAACTGCTGCTTCATGCAGTACTTAGGCATTGGGATGTTAGGATTCAGATGTGTCTGAGCTTCACTGTGTGGGAAACTGGTGGGAAAAAGTAGTTGTAGAAATATTCACAGGTCTTTTCCATTTCTTACCTTTTCTTTATCCTTCCAGTTTTATCTTTAAGTATCTCCTCAGCCTATCTGGTCTTCCTTTAGACGTGTTTTTCTCTACATTGCTTCTGGATACGTTTTATGAGGAGAAATATTGCTCGTGTTCTTCCACTGTTATCCTCTGTAAGATTTCACAAATGAGTTTATGTTGTAAACCAGCCTTGGCCATGGCTACCATCTTCCTCTGATTGGCAAAGAGAGGGAACGTTTGTTTGGCTGAGGTGGTGCCTGGGTGCTTATTGCTTTTAAATCGTTAGTGCACATCTGTTCTTTTATTTCCCATTTTTCGGTATTAGTAGCTTGTTCAAATAGGTCAGGTTGGAGTCACCTCATTTGCTTGTCTTCTTGTTTTTATTCTTCACATTTGGTGTGTGATCTTTGCTCTCACTAGTTGGTCAAGACCACTGATTTGGAAATGACTCCCACTTTAGAATCTTAATGTTTCCTGTCCTTTGTTTTTATTTCAAAGATTTGTTCATTTTGAGAGCTAGACATTCCTTACAGAACTATTTCAGTTGTAATATAGTTTTTAATTAAAAAAAAATTTAAATACAATTTTATTAGTATCTTTTGTTTTTACATCACCTGCATTTCTCACTGTGTCCTTCCCCCCACTCTCTTCCAGGGAGCCATCCTTTTTAATAAAGAGTAGAAAAAGGAATAAGGGAAAAATGAGCTATGTACAGCTAGCTAACATATGTCAGAAGACCAATTTTGTATGCCATATTTCACACCCGTGATCCTGTACATCTATGAAGAAGCAGGAGTTGGGGGTGGGGGGACGTCTCACATCTCTTCTTTGGGGTCAGGCTTGGTCAGTTTCATTTTTTTGTGCTGTTATTTGGTGTTTGTCCTGTCCAGTGCCACCTGCCTTCCTACTTAGAGAAAACATTCGTGACAAGTAGGGCTCTCTGTGTTGTTTATGAGCCTTTGGCATCTTTGGTTTCTTACTCCTGAAACAGGTTTTCCAACATCTTTCACTGTTTCTCACCCCCTCCACCTTTACATTGAAGTCACTGAGTATAGGGGAAAGAGCACTGGTTCTGCAATCAGAGACCTTCAGTTCAAATCCTGTCTCAGAGACCCTCTTTATGATCTTAGGAAGATCGTTTAACCTTCTTGGGCCTCAGTTTCCTCATCTGTAAAAAAAGGGGGTTGGAGTTGATGGCTTCTGAGGGCCCTTGCAGTTCTGGAACTGTGTTCCTGCGAACATCGGAGCGTGTGTTGATTTTATTCAGAGGGTCTTAGAGTTTCTGTGCTGCCTCGTCCTCTGCCTTGGTTGTTGGCATGTCACTGGGGGCTAATTATCTTCATATCATCTTTTTGCTGAGGACTGATATTGTGAGTACTGATTACCAAGATCAGATA